GTACAATTTGGAATTAATAGACACTCGTAATGTTTTGAAAGTTCTTTAATTGCACTCACCTAAAGGCTCGTGCAATTACAAGAACTTTCATAACATTACTCGTGTCTATTAATTTCCAAATTGTACTCGAGATCGTGCGATTTCCTATACAAATACTTATATTTCTCCTTTTCGAAAAACTGATATTTTTGTGATAATATCGTTACCATGTGTATTTAAGCTATTAGTTTATGAATAAAAACTTTTTATAATAATAAAAATCTTATTAAGCTGATTTTATGGATAAATATATAATAAACAGAATATTACATGGGCGCTTGGAAATACAAAATTTATCTTCTCGTGTTGAAAATCCCTTTTCAACACTCGAAGATAAATTTCGTATCTCCAAGCGCCCATGTAATATCCTCTACTATATTATCATTATCATTATCATTATTATTATTATTAATCATCATCTAGCAATGCATTTGAAGGGTGAATTTGAACTTAGAGCAGCATAAACACCAGACACAGAGCACTCATGCAAGGCGTGTTAAAGGTGTGTTAAAGGCRTGTTAAAGAGTTGAGAGTTGGTTAAGAAAACAAGGGCATACCTATAACGTGATTTTTCCTAATGAGGACTTTGTATGAGAAAAAAAATACGGGTTCTTATCAAAATATCAAAATTAAAAGATGCCGATCAGGAAGAGAATCAAGTGAAATTCTAAAAAAGGAATCAATGGCTAACAGCGCTAATTACGAACTGCTCTACTGGATTGACACGCCCGTGCTTGAGTCTGCCAAAGTTTAATAATTTCTCTTCTTGAGAATTAGTTAATTTAAAGTCACAAGATGGACGTAAGACTTGCTTCGCTATATAAATTGGCGCTGAAGGTTAATTTTCACGCCAATTTTGCTACTAATTGCTGCATTAGTATTTCAAAAGCAACTGAGGAAGGGGAAACATTGAACGATGAAAGGAAAAATKTTAAAGAGAAGTAGAAATAAAACTCGTACGTTGAAGTTGGTTGTACTCCAACAATTGAACGATAGGACCGAGGAAAGCACATCTTCACAGGCGGCGTTTTGCCGGCGTTCAACATATAGTTCCTGCCACTTCGCTCGAACTTCTAACGACCATTCCTACTCGAGACCAACCCAGAACGTACCTCTTTCAACACAGAACAACAGGATCACCATCCAAAGGACACCATGGTTGACGTTTAAACCAAGAAGAGAATCGCACGGTTTYTTACTGATGTTTGGTCGACCATATTCTCCTCTCTCGAGTACTGGAAGGCGACGAACAATCGATATTGCTGAAGAAGCGAACGTTTATGAAGTCCTTAGGCCGAGAGACCGAAATGCCAGAGCATTCCATACCGGTGTAATAAATAGGCGATATTTCACGGCTGCTGGAAGGTACAGGAACAATTCATTGACAGAAGATGACGAAAGCGAGGATGAGTTGGTCGACGAYGATGATGAATATTACTTTTACGATGGCGATGACGAAGACGAAGACGAATTTGACGACAATGATGATGATGAATTGTACTAGTTCTTCTGACAATGTCCTTGGACTCCAAGAAGAAAACAACTGTTTTGGACATAGTAGGGTAGCTAATTCTAACGACGTTCGTGAATGATGTAATCGATAAAAAAAAAATCATTTTTTTAGAAGGGGGATGGCCGGAGGAATAGTCCAGTTAAAATAAATTCAAGTCAGTTTTTACCAAAAAAA